TTTGTACAATCGCATTTCACCCTGACCTTTTTAAGCCCCTCAGCCCGGCTCCGGGATTATCAGGACTGATCACCCTGGAACTCTGGGGAGGACATGGGCTGCGCAGCTCGGCATACCCGAGCGATGTGGCCTTTCTGGCCACACCCCTGGCAGAGGGCTTGCCTAAATCTGCACTCAGCTCTTTCGTGGTTGCCTCCGCACTCACTGCATGCAGATTTAGGGTCGCCCTTCCACCGAGGTAAGCTCTTTCTGTTCGCCTCATAAAGGCGGTTAATGTCCTCCTCTCGCCCTTCGTGGTTGGAATCATCGCTCTCCGTATCAGGTAGACCGGCAGCTGTGTTGAAAGTATTGGCGGGCTGCGCGGTTGTGGTAGACCGGCTCTTTGCAATGGTAGCTAGGGATGCCGCGGCCATTTCGGAAGCCCGAACCTCATTGAATGCGGATTGGAAGGAGAGGTCTGCCTTGGTTAACAACCGCTTTTGAAGTTTGAGGTCTCTGAGGCCATATAAAAGGCGGTCGAGGAGGGCCTCATCGAGATCCCGGAACTCACAGTGTGAGGGTGACAGGATGGCCGATCTCAGAGCGGCGACATAGGCGCTGACTGACTCTCCCTCGGCTTGGCTGCGTTAATGGAAGGCATGCCGGTGGGCTATTTTGGACGGGGACAGGGCGTAATGGCTCATCAGCTTTGCCATTAGGACGGGCTATGGTACGGCCTTGATAGGTTCAGGGGCTGTGAGGAACACGTCCATTCCGCAAACGGACAGGAAAAATGCGCATTTCCTTTCATCCGTCAGCTCGGTAAGGTCGTGGGCGACCAGGAAGCATTCAAAACGGGCGGTGTATGACTCCCACGTCTCAGAGCCATAATTGAATGGCGTGAAGTTTAATGTGGCCATTCCTGTCAGGGAATCAGCGACGTCTCGTCACGGTAGAGGCAGAATGGAAGCACAGTTCTAGTGACTCAGCGAGTGACTTCAGCTACTCACACCTCAGTTTGGCGATCCCATCCTCATTGCCAGTGGTGTGTACCAGAACCGTGGGTAGCCAGAAGAACTGAGGCGGAGACGGGAATAAAGGCTAACACATTTTATTCCCTGACAAATACAGGCTAACATTCAGAACCGTCTTCAGACAGGAATGTGTGCTGCTCGTTTGGACAGCTCCCCTTTTTATAAAGGAGCTGTCAAATGATCAGCCAATCGGGTGTCGAGTGCTTCCCGCTTAAACTCTTTATTTTNGAGAAAGGTATGCATGGAATGTGCTTCTGAACACATTCAGCTGCTAAGCTGCTCCATCAGTTTTCCCCCCTCCTGCCCATGGCAACTCGAGAGCAGACAAATGCTTTGTGAGTTGGCAACTATCATTTATCTGAATCAGGATTTCTCCAGACACAACTGTTAAGTAGAACCAAGGTTGGAGAAGCACTGGTTGCTTTCACCCACCAGAGGCCAGTGGAACTGCAGCAGATTTGGACCATGAGGAGGTTGGGGAGAAACATGGTCCAGTCCTGGAGTCTGGGGAAGGCTCTTATGAGGGCTCTGTGTTGGAGGCAGAGCCGTATGCCAGTTATCAGCCTCCTTCAGAGTCAGACATCAGTGGGGCAGATGAACAGTTGGAGCCTGTTCCCAGTGTATGCATGCACACAGTTGCCAGACGAAGGGAACAGGTAAAGAACAGGGGTCGACTTGGGAGTAAGGCCAGAGGTGGACGATGAATGGCCCCTCCCAGAGGAAATAAAAGAGGAGTGAAAGGGGAGGGAGTTTGCAGGAAACAATTAGTTCGCTTCATTGGTTTTTGACTATCCAAGAGTCCTTGCCAAGTTCTGCAGATATCGACCTGTCCATTCTCCAAGTTAGATAAGGTCTGTGACTGTAAATCCTCCCTTGAAAGACCTTGCTGGATGTGAATGAACAGAATTCACAGTAAACTAATAAAAGGGCTTTTTGTTGGGACAAGGAGTTTGCTTCATGCTCTTGGGAAGCCTAGGTGAGAACACTGGTCTTCCAGCTGTTGGCCTAGATGGATTTCTAGAGGATCCTATTGGCTATTATTGAAATGGTGTTCTAGCAATATCACTCCTTTACCTGTGCAATAAGAAAAGAAAAAACGAGGAAGAAGAGAACTGCTTGGACCATGCTGTTCCTCCTTACCCAGCCTAACAAAAGGTTTAAGCAATCTTCAAGAGTAGGAATTATTCCTGGGAACTGACTAGTGATGAGTAGAAGGGATGGAGGTCAATAGAAATGCCC